ACGGCAGAAGCAGCAGCAATGTCGATGACCCTTGACGGCAGAAGCCTTAGCTTGCACACGATCGATGAGGAGGATACTGCTTTGCTGCTCTGTTGTTCGCTCGGTGTCCTTCCTTTGACGGCACTTGGTGCTGGCGCTAGTAGCGAGTGGATGACGGGGGGTGAGACTGGAGGGACGGGGATTGCTGAACCTGCACCCTCGTGTTTTTCTCGGAGATGTGGCTTGTTTTGTCTGCCTCGAGGTCGAGCTGCAACGATGGTCCCATCCTAAAAATATCAATGAAAACAAATATGATCGCGACATGCCGTGCTTTCTCGAAACGCAAAGCGCTCGTGGCGCTTTGCGAAAGTGCTGGGCGCATAACCTGCTGGCGCATAACCTGGCCACACGGCACGATTTTGTCGTGAACGGTCAGTACCACGTTGTCATCGAGCATGTATACGATGCCGAGATTCGCTCCGAGCAAGGCAACACGAGATTTGGAGCTGCAACATATGTGATTCATGTGCATCAAGCGAAGACACTGGGCACTCGGTTGGATAGGTCGAACACGAAGGAACACTGCTGTTGTGCGTCGCTATTTCCCGATTTTTTTATTGGTGTCGCCGAACCGGGAACGGGCAACCTCTGATGTCTTTACCTCACGACGTCAGGAGTTTGTGCATGTGATAGTGATGCGTCCTGCGTTCCATTCACGTGTGTATGTTGTGTTAGGAGTCACCTGCAGCCTATCCGGCAGGCGATCGTCCCATTCATCATTCAACGAGCGCAGTGTTGAGCAACGTTCATCAGTATTTACAATCCGTTGGTGGTTCTACCTTTCAACACCACGGGGGCCGCACACACAAACCCCAAGACACAAAACACCCGATACGTCCCACCGCTTGATACTCAGTAACTCTGGTCAGCCAACACGTGCAATGTATACAACCGCGTAGGCCTTCCTCCTGGAACCCCCTGGCCCTGTTTTTTCCGTGGCTTCTCGAGTCGAGCGTCATTGCCTTAGCCGTATCATCGCTGATTTGAGCGGGCGATATCTTGTGAGAGCGATGGCCGCCAGCGCGACCACTCCGTACAACAAGGGTAGAGAAGCCGTGCACCCGCCTTCGATGAAATTGAACCCCGTCTGAAAGGATCGGGGCATTCAAAAACGGACGGAGGTTTCAAGGCAGGGGCGGTGTGGAATCGGGGTTTCGGAAGGACAGCCATTAAACCCACGCGTAGACCCACTGCTTGATATCACAATCGCGTGTCGTGTATTCAAAGGACTTCGTATGACCTTCAAGCTTCAACGTAAACCATGTCAACCAAAACAGCTCGCAGAAACGTGGAAGAACTTCACAGATGCACAAGTTGACTTGTCTACAAGACCACGGCCAATAAGCTCTTGTGTATCGTTCGTGAACCGCCGTGTCAAAGCAACCAAGGCATCCAGCAACGTTTTGGGCCAAAATACATCGGAGAAATCCAATTTCCAGACCCCTCTAACAACAACCAAACAGCACGTTCGCCCGCGAACGGATTGTGGTTTTCGGGTAACTCAAGCTGACGTTGAAGCAGTGTCAACAAGCAAGCGTTGTCTAGTCCACAAAAGAAACGGACCGCCTACTCAAATCAAGGAAGTGCGCCACGAAGAAAGACCAGGCAGGGGACACGCAGACCCCTAACTTAGTCGATTCTGTACTTCATCCAACATGTTTGCTTCCTTCGAAACCTAGGTAGACTACCGAAAGAATCCACATACCGTGAGGGCCGCGGCGAAATGTAGCCCAAAGGAGAAGCTCATGAGCCCCGCATTTCCTGACCGTGCCACGGCAAAAGCAGTCGCCATGAGGAGCAGGTCTAGAACCACAAACGCCTGCGCGCTCAAAGCTGGCGACGATTGGAAAAAGGGGGGACGTGCTGTGTTCGAAACGAGTGGAATCAATCGCACTCGTTTGCGAAGGGACTGCAACGAAAACCTTTGTATCTGACCAGACCACATCCAGGGTACCCGAACATATGGATGCACACGTTCGGGGTACTAAACAAACTCCAACACGCTCGTGACACAAGTTGCAATTCGCGATTTTCAGACTCGTCTATCAGATCTTTGTGTGAGGGAAATATGCTAGGACAGCGGTCGCTCTCACCAGAAACAATTACGGACGGTACGCGGGGACAGGACGGCGAGAACGCTGCCCCGGGTCCCATGTGCTTTGACAACGCCGTGCCGACCATGATCACAGCGTGAATTAATCCCCACCCCACGCCAGCGGCTGAGAGACAAGAGGAACGACAAGAGGGCGGGGGATAAGGAAGAAGGCATTCCGGCTTTGGGTTAAGCGAGATCACCCATGTGGAAGAAAGAGACGAAGCATACCTCTCTTTCCCCTGAGATTCGAGTTTTGAAAGCAGGATGCCGACAGCACGCCATGAAATAAATGACAGCCCGCCATTTCGAGTAGGAATCGCCGCACGCACGATTATCGATTCAAAGGACCAAGTGAGGGGCGTCGACTCTCTTCGTCTGAATCTCACCTATGGATGAAGACACCCCGTTCAGCCTGAGCAAGCCAAAGGATTCCTCCGGCCGGTCGGGCACGCCGCCCGTCTTCCTTTCCCCTCGACCTTCGCCAACCACGTCGCTGCCCTCTACCCCCAGAGCGCCGCCGTACTGGCAGCTGCTTCCGTGAGAGTTTGAAGCAGGGGCTGCGTGCGCAGCGGCTTCGTTGATCACCGCTTCCGTCTTTACGTAGACCTTTGCGAGCGCGAGGCGCCCGAAGCCGTGCAGGATGACGCTCGTGATCATGGACAGCACCCAGGCGTCCTTTCGGGTGTGTAGGTTGATCGCACGGGTGATTGCCGATGAGTCGTCCAGGGAGAGAGTGAGATGGACGCGTGCATACGTCGGGCACGATTATCAGCGTTGGTGATTAAGAGGGAAACGTTCCTCTCTTGGATGGCACAAGCGGCATGTGCAGGGTAAGTGGGTTGTCCGTGCACAATCTATCGGGGACTCCGCTGGAACGCGATGGACGATGCTTCAACGCTCCAACACACCGTGTGTTTTACAACCGTAGTGACGACCGGACTAAAGTAGATCGTCATACATGTCGATGTGCCAATTTATCATAGCATGTTTGAATGCCTTCCGATCGCGGTGGCAACAAGTTGCTACTGGTCAACTATTGTTAGGTGGCTGCGGTGCAGAACGAATCCTGTGTGTACGCTGCTTCTCTCCTGTCACCTGTGCAGCGGGAACGATGGTCCAGAGCACGGAAGCTGCCGCCATGGACGCCAGCCAGAAAAAGGCGCTGTGTTGGTTGGTACCCAATGCGAAAAAGAAAAAAAAAGGATGGTGAGAAGCAGCGTGAAGTTAGTGTACACATGGCCGGTTTTCATGTAAGTTTGTGGCTTGGTCTTGCGGCGGTGGTTTGTTGTGACATGCGTACGAAGCTCTCAAAACGGTACCAGCACGTGTAGTTCACACTGCAACGCGAGCCCCGACATACCTAAGACCCACACACCCCTTGAACTCAGCGAAGGTTCGGGATCAGCGTGCCGTTCGACCTAGCACATGAACTATAATGGGAGAGAGAAAGACAAGTTACTCGTGATGATGATCACGTCGTACGTGGGATGTCCCGAGATGGCCGTAACAGCTTCAGCAGCACATAATAAAGCCAGTGATTCGTTTAACTGATGATGAGGCTTGGTATTACCGCTGTCGAGCAAATATTTGTGCTGTGAATACGCATACAGTAGCACAGCAGTAGCACAAACAAACCGCGCCATTCGAGTTTCTCCAGACCACGGGATTCGTCTTTTTGTCAGCCGGCATCGGTACACCATACCGCCACAGCCGTGCTTGATATAAGCGCGTCTTTCGTGGCGAGGGAAAACCAGTAGAGCTTACGCGAGATTATTTAAGCTTGATTTTAGAAAGGTGTGCGGGGTTGGGTTGGGGAAAAGGTTTAGGGTGAGGGGCACGAAACCATTGTCTCTGTTCACAAATTAGAGTAGTATCCGCCCGAAGACAGCCCGGGAAAACATGTCGTACCTACCCATGCCAAATCACCTATTTACGACAGGTGTATAGTTGGCGAGCTTTGTCCCACTCGAGACACACCCGCATTTGGAGCTAAGGAATTATCCGGTTGTGCAGCGTGAATTGTTTGCGTGCGGCAACAACAACAACGACAATCAATGGCATCAAGGTATAGCAAGTACTTAGTAGATGTGCCCCCCCGCGTTCCGTAAACGCTGCTCAATTCGCTTTGTAGCACTACCTCACCACCTACATATTTTTTATATAATATTTTATAATATGCGAGGTAAAGACATGCCGTGTAATCCTTCGTGGAACTATTTCACCAATACCATCCTCTACCTTCTCACTCAATCCATGCATTTGCTGACACCTCCTCCTGCGAACCCTTTACAGCAGTCTACACTTCTTCCAGCGGTACAGCGGTCGGTCTACAGGCCTTGTGGTGTAATTTGGCTTCATTTGATATTTCTTCATATCTCATATCATGAGCAGATCCTGCATCTACCCACTGCTCTCCCTGTCGTTTGTGGACACACAGATTGTGACACCTCTGTACATATAACATACATGGCACATTGAGATCGCTCTGCTATTGAAACTACTGCGTAGCCAAGGAGCTCATCACGAAGACATCCGCAACGGCGGATTGATTCGCTGTGTATAGCAGTACCAGATTAGCTCACCCGACGAGGCCGATGATCACAAGAGCCGGTCGCTTGCCGACGACCACCACCCAGAGCATGATCGAAGGACCGAAGGCGATCAGGCTACAGCCTGTAACGAGCACAAGCCCCATGATACCGCCTTGTTCTGCAGAGAGATACACGACAGGTGGGTGTGGCAATGTTGCGGAGCAACCGAGGGGTGACGCAGGCATGCATACCTGTATGCCTGTATACCGACACGGGGGCTCGATGAATCGTACCCCAGAGTCTACGAAATTGGTTAACGGCCAGTTGCTTGAGTGCTCGAGAGTCTTGTCCCTCCCGCTGGTGCCCTTCTCTTCCTGCTGGCCAGGCACCCTTGCTACCTACGCTTCGCTTGTTCTCTCTGGGCTGTCCCGGGAGTCTTGGAATCCTCCTCGGAAGCGCACCACCATGCCGCCTCGACGGTGTATCAACAAGAAGGGGCGACTGCAGGAGGCAGAGGCGGCCTCAAAAAGCATTAAGACCATTTACGACGACGGCCACGCGGCAGATCACCTTGACGAAGAGGAAGACTTTGGCAGCACCTGCCCGATTGTGGAAGAGCCCTCGACGCGTGAGGCGCAGACGGAGTATGTTGAACGAATCATCGAAGAGGTCGAAGCGAAAGGTGCGAGCAAGTTCTCCCAGGTTGCATGTAAACCAGAGCCGCGCAAGAGATGGGAGGGATAGGCTGGCATACAGCACCTCACTACTGGTGTACCGTAGGTGACACTAGATTTTACACACGCTGGACCGATTTTCAAAGCTCGATTACTTCACGACGAAGATTGTTCCACGGTCAGATAGTGCGTTTTCGGAAAACTCTTGACGGGCACGGTTCCAATGTCGCCATTTTCGACACACTCCGAGTTGTGGAGCTTTCAAAATCAGCAGAGGGTGTGAGATCCCATCTTCGTGTCACCTACGGTATGCTCTTGTTGCATTGTACAGCAGCTGGTCCAGTTTACTTGTTTTGCACGGGATCATTTCCTATCGATATCGTTGCATGTCTTTCATCCCGTTTCCCTGTAGACGCAATACGGAGTATTCAAAATCTTCGGCACAGAGCATCTTTCATCTCTCTCTCTGTTAAAAAATACCCGAATGTTGTGCGGTATGTTCGCCTATTCAAGGGTCAATTCTCCATGCTGCTGCTGCTGTCGTAGCTCGCCAGCACAATCGCAGCATCAGCTATAACAGCAGCATGGAGAATTGACTTTTTCGAGCTTCTTTTTATAGTTGCACATAGTCTGGTTTTCGCCTGCAAGGGGCGGCCAGAGGGAGGACGAAACCCGTTGTTCTCTTGTCACGGTGACAACAGAGTCCCCCCGCAACCGCAATCAACGTCCTCTTCTTGCCCGTAGACTAGCCGTTAGTCTAGTCATCTGTTTGCCTGTGTTTGTTCCGGCGGAGGCGTGCGAAGCGCCGTAGATCGGGGAAATACTTGCAGCCGTTGTCAAGGTCAAGGTTGACGAGTATCCGGCATAAAACACCAATAGCAGAGACGGACACCCTCTCTGCGAATGCATGTAGTCTATCAACTCCCCGCCGCATGCACACACAAACCCCTCCCGTAATCTCATCCTCTGTTTCGGACAATGTGGCACGCAAATCCCTGCCGCATGCACATTCAAACCCCTTTTATTCTCATCCTCTGTTTCGCACAACGTGGCATGTCAACTCCCTGCCGCATGCACACACTCCTACCGCCTCATTCCCAAACCTCCAACAGCTGTTTCGGACAACAATGTCGCATGTTTTTCAGCCAGGGAGTGGTGCGATGCAATCATGGACGAAAACGCGTCCAACATCCGGATGCAGAAGCGAACGCGCGACCGAGTGAAGAACAAGATCAACCGCAAGTTCCGTCATATGAAGCTGTCGGACCTGTGCCACATGTCCGGGAACGACTACAACGCGGCGCTGCTGATGGCGGTGCCCCCGGAGGAGCGCGCGGTCTTGCTGGCGGAGGTCGGGGAGGACACGGATGAGGAGGAGAACGACGAGGAGAACATGCCGTGAGTGTTCAGGCTGTTGTGTGCAGCATGTCACGGTCAATCATACGTATTCTGTGCAGCTGTTTAGGTGTGAATGCGAACTTTTGCGGGCAGCAGTTCACGTGTCAGGGTCGATGCCAAGTGCAGTGGGGGTCCCCGAATCAGGCGGTTTAAATATTGCGGTCGACCTTAATGCGGCGGGTATAATTGGCTGGCGTAGATCAAGTTGTGCATGGCGGCTGCCCCATATATGGTGATCAATCTCAGCTGCCCCAGCACTACCATATTCGGGTACCCCACTGTGTTGTGTACAGTTTAGGTCTGGCTGCATTGGGGTATCTGCAACCAGATGACGTGCACCTCGTCTGTCGGGTGTTCTCCCCTAGGAGCGTTTCGCACTATTTTCCTTGTACCGCCGAGTGCTCGTGTTATGCTGCTGTTGCTCTGGAAAGTTGGGCAGTTTGTGCGTCTGAATTTTGTTGATTCCGGGTAGGGTTACTGCCATGGTTGTCGCTTTCAGCAGCCAATGGGAAAGGGAGGAGAATTGACGAGGAGAGGCATCCATTGGTGCAATTTTTGCGTGTGCGTGAGTGCCTCGCAAAGAGGTACATAGAGGAAATCTCGCGGCACCTTGTTGTGCTGCTGCTGCTGCTGCATTCCGTTGTGTTGCATTTGCCTGCGCTGTGTCTTCTACGCAGCAATCGGACGAAGGTGTTTTGTTCAGCCGGATTATCCTTGTCTTGGCTCGTGGCACTGCGGGTGCTGACACCACTGCTGTAGGTCTTGTTGCTGCATCGTGCCTTCCCATCCTTCTAAAGCACAAGGCCCCCCTGTTTTCCAGACCGCCCTCGCGTACCCAATCACACGCCTGCCAGCCTTCATCAGGCTAGATTGTCTCGAGATCACGACGTTTGCATCCCTGCTGTCATCAAGGATGCCGGTAGCCCCGCGGAACGCGTGACATGCCCCGCCAATAGCCCTCCGCTACAATCGCCGCATCGTGCCTGGAAGCAGAAAATCTCACACCTTAACACTTTTACCCCAACCTTCTAACATACAGCACCGCGGTGAAGGGGCGGAACCCGCCACGGATGGTTCCAGCCACGCCGAAGGGCGGCGGAAGACCTGCCGGATCACGCGTAACGCGCTCCGCCGTCAAGGGGGCTCGCACCTCGTCTCGGTTGTCGGTACCGGCGGAACCGCTGCCGGTCGAAGTAGGAGCGGTGGCGCAGACGCCAACGGGCCGCGCTAGGGGGGCCGGGGGGCGTGCTATGCGGTCCGCCGTCAAGGGGGGCGAGGCGCCTGGGCGTGACGTCTGTCCGCTGTCGACTTCGATCGAGGTATCGGTACTGCCGTTGGTGAAAAGGCGTAGTGTGAATATTCGCTTACGCAACAGTATGGTGTTCCATAGACAAGGGGGATTATTTTGCGCGTTAAATGGGATGAGTTCCTAAGTTCGTCTCCGGCGGTTGGTAACATTCTTGTTCTTTGCTATGGTAGACATAGTCGTCAATTGACAGATCAACACCTGATACACCGCTCGTGCTAGAGAGACCTGGCATGTGAGAACGAAGAACGACATCGAGGCGTTGCCATTGCTGTTCTGGCAATGCCCCTAACTTGCTAGTATTGTCGTTGGCACGTCTTAACGAAGTGGGTGATGTACTGCATTGCGATATATGCAGATGGCGCCGCCGTGAACGATTTTGACAGTCTTGTAAATTGAAATTTCCCAGGTCAACAACCAGAACAACGTTTACTGTGTTGATATAAATCCATAAAGCATCTTATGTTGCGGCCGGTTACTGCCCACAAACCGAAAAACAAAAGTCCGAGGGTTGGGCGCTGGGAATTTCTCGGATGCTAGCGTTATCTCTGTTTGCGGGGTTAAAATTTATGCATGACATATATCGCTCGGTTGAGTGTTTGATCAGTACGGACTAATGAAGGTAGATCGGAACGATCGATAGTGTGAAGACAACAACAACAAGATAGTATGCATCATTTTTTAATCTGGCAGAGAAGAGTGGTGTTGTGCGCGTGGAGGTTTCTTTTCAAAAGCCTTAGTTTTTCAACTAATGTTAATTGTCTTCGAACCGTTCGTTTTTTTCACATCGATTGAAAATGGTGTTGGTCTGATTTGCATTGGTTGGTTCGTTTGCCTGTTCTGTCCGCTTATTGCTTTCGGGTTACTATCTATTTCCTCGTTCACTTTTTTGTATTTGTTCGCTGTTGTGCCGCTCTGTAATTCCCGTTCGCGTGCCGTTTTCTCGTCGGTTCGAAATTGACAGAATGCTCCCAAGCTTTCGGAGAGCGTCATCACAGAGCTTCACAAACGTGAGAGAGAGATCAAAACAGGGGTGGCGAGAGAGACAGAACACCCTGAGAAATGGCAACAAAATTGTGAACCACGATAGGTAGTAGGCCAGGAAAACCTTTTTGTTGGGATCCCTATCGTAGATGCGCAGGAAAAGTAGAGGGAAACGACTCGACATGGTTCGGCTTAGCTTTGGACTATGACTCTGCCATTGTCCGACGTAACAGGTTTCGGCCCTGGCTGCACGGTATGGCAATGCCTGGACATCGTCTTCCAGCCCAAGATCGAGGTGAGTGACGTCGGTGAATGTGAATGGCTGGTCGTGCCTGTTTGGCGGCGAACGCTTTGCATGTTTGCAGCTGGTTGTTGCTGATGATGTTCTCCCTCGTTGTCTGTTGCGTGTAGCAGCGATATCTTACGCGTGATGTTTCCTCGCACAATTCGAAAGCGTCTCCTGCTCCACTATTGTTTTTTTGTGTATACGATGCATGGAAGGACACGTCAGCGAGACAGATTTCCTTCTCGTCTCCGTCTTCTCTTTTGCCAATTCCGAGACCCACACCGTCCAAACATCATCGTACAATATTCGATGAGCAGAAGGACATGACCGCAGAAAAGGTGGGCCGTCGATTAGAGGCCCGTCTTACCCACACTCAACCGCTTCGCTCCGCGCACCTCCCAAGACAAACAGCGCCAGCCAACCCGCACCCTCTCGTCTTGCAAAACAATGCTTAGGGGTACACTCGCCACGCGGAAGCCGTGTGCGCTGAGCTGCGGCAGAACATCGCCGAGAGGAGCAGACAGCTTCGCGCCAGGATCCCGCCTATTCCCGCCGACCCGCCTAAAAAGAAGAAGGCGAAGAAGAAGGCCACGACTGCGAAGCCGAGGGCCAAGCCAAGGGCTAGGAGGGGTGCCGCTGCTGGCGAGGATGTCGGGATTTCGTCCCCTGTAGCGGAGGTTGTCAAGGAGGAGGAGGAGGAGGAGGTGGTCGAGGAAGAAGAGGAGGTGGTCGAGGAAGAGGAGGAGGTGGTCGAGGAGGAGGAGGAAGAGGCCGGAGGGACGGCGAAGGTGGCTCTTTCGATCAGCGGAGGACCGTATGACGGTTCGGTGTTCGAGATCACCGTGGAAGAGGACGGGGATGCGCGGCTAGTAGGACGCTCTACTGGGAAGAAGGCACGTAAATAAAGCAATACGGAGTACATTTGTTTACAAGGTTAAAATCATTGGTAAATGTTTTAAAATATCTTTATTGTATGCGCTTGTAGATTTTTTCGGAGGTGCTTCTCCGGAGGGTGGGGAGGGGGCACCGGGACGTACTCCCATATCGACTAGCTGCCGTGCTCCTTGTCTGTGCATTCCTATGGAAATGAGCGACGTTTGTTCACGTCAGTTCCGTGTATGCATAGTAGTCGCAGCTCTTCTCGTTTTTGCTCGTGTTTGCCGCGAAATGTCACAACTTCCTTTGTCCACACGTCAATGCTGCGTTTCATGTCATGTTGGTTAAAATTTTGATCGGTGCTCAGCAATTATTTCCATCGTATCAAAAGCAGTTGTCCGGAAAAAATTCTGAAAAGTGTATCTTCGGACGTTTTTCTTGTTTTTCGTTTCTTTGGAAACGTTGTGGGACCAGTTCAAGAACCACGGGATCAGTCTCCGCAGAGACTCGGAGGTTTCCATCACGCATGGCATGTTTATGAACTCCGCGGGAAGGGTTACCTACATGGACAATGGCAGCACTAACGGGACTGAGGTGGATGGGTGAGTACCGTGATTACTAGCAGCATGGCGTTTTCATTGTCCAAAGCGCAATTCGAACGTATGCGTTGTGTATCCCGGAGTATGTCTGTGGGTGGAGGCGTACTGGCTTGTTCATCAGCCACCCTGGAATTGGACAATGCTGCAGGCATATTGTGAACGGATACCGTGAAGGGCGGCACGCCGACGCTACAGATGTCATATTGCTAACCCATCCACCCGGGATGAACCGAGGTCAAACAGCATCCCCGAAAAAAATATACTCCAAAGTAAGTATTTTGCAGGTCATATCCATCCAGGTAATGCGGTGTTCTAATCCGCGTGCAACAAAATCCCCGAAGCTTTCTCTTGCCACAAGCTCGGGGAAGTATTAATATCTGAACAAGAGCTTTGTTGCGGCGCACTAGTTCTCGGAACGTGCTAAGTACTGAGTGCTCAGTCTTCGTTGTTTGTCCGTGTTCCAAGCAGAAGTACCGCACCATGTGTTGCGTTTTGTTTCGTTTCGAGCTTGCTGCGATAGGTAATAACAGGCTACACATGCGAAATAGTCCAAACGCCACAAACACTGTTCATGGCCGGATGTGTTTCTCTTCACCAATTTAGTAGTATGCGCTCTTAGTACCTTTGACCGTTCCTACGTAAATGGAGAATAGGCACAAGCACCAAATGGTTTTCACTGGTTCGCCCTCCGATATCTCTCGGCAATGGGAAAATGCCATCCGATAATTGGTAGCGTTGGAACGTCACGGCGTGACAGGCGTGCTTTCTCTTGTTCTAAGAAAAAATGTCCGAGGAGACTCGCAAGTTGTTTTTCACCCACACTCCGCTTTTTCGTCCTTCAACTCTCGTTGCAGGGAATGGGTGGAGCCGAAGAATGCCTACGAAGTCGTCACTGGGTCTAGGCTGCTGATTGGCCAGAGCCACTGCACCGTGGCAATCACGTGGGAACGTTGATCTCGACTCGAGTAGCTAGCGCAAACGAGAGACTTTTTCAGATCCAGTTTTGGCTGGCCCGTGTGAACGTCGCGTGTGGGGAGATGCTTCTTGTTGTCGACCTGGCTCGGACGAGTTTATGCAGGGAGTTATTGCTGAACTGCATCATGCGGCCACCTTACCCAAAACACGTAGTAGAGGTTTTGCGGGTTTGATCGTGTACATGTGCTTGGTGCTTGTGGCGATTTGAGGTTATGGTTCTCTTGCACCGGTGCCGGATGGTGATGGTGGACGTTATCTCCAACTTTAATCGGACACGGTACGATTCAGTGGTGGGAGTGCCCCCTGCGGGGAGAGGGTCTCGATTGGAATTTCTTGCTCACAACAATTGGACGTGTGTTGTTTAGATCCAGTCGGTGCCCTTGTCTTCTAACGCAACCGACACAGAGCCAAAGGCACGCAGTTTTCTGATTGGTAATAAACTGATTTCGCTTCGGGTTCACAGTGACCACGGGTAAATGTAGTATCCTATTCATATACCACATGTTGGATTTAATTGTCCTGTTCGTTCACACGGGGTCGTCGTGGTTTAGGGGTGGTAGAGCCGGGGGTCTCAGGAAAACTGTCAAACCACACCAGAACGCGTACCACGAATTATTCCGCAAGTTCTCCATGGACGCGGTCTACCACGTATTATTCCGCAAATGATCCAGGGCTGAGTGCGGACGCTTTGCCTACAACGTGGAAGGCTGTTGAGCCAGCCACGGGTGTTTACTTTGCGGGCTTGCGTTGGTATCGTACGCGAGTTGTTCGGTCTTCGGACCGGACCCTTTGCGCTTTCTTCGATGGTAGCCTGGCAACGCAGTGTTGGAGGTGCTGGGGACGAATTTGGGTTGCGACCATTTCCAAGAGAACGAGCTGCACTTTGCGCACGGGATGGACATCCACCTACTACGCCATCAGTGGATGTAAACACGTGTGCTTACGTACGATACTTCCTTGTTATTGTGTCTTGATTTGTCGTAGATCATGTGATGAGCACTAATACCATGCAGGGACGGGAGAGAGGGTGGGGGGGGCGTACTCTTATGTTTTGCATGCCTTAGCGGTTAGACCATCGACCACGCGTCCTCGAGAGGACGGAGCATTGTTCCCACAGGACAGATCACCGATGGCCAATCGTTCCTTTCTACTTTGCCAAAGGTGGCTCAAAAATGTCTTCCCTAGTCTGTCGATCCAAACGATATCCCTTCCCGCCTTTTCAACCCATCTCCTATGCCCCAGTACAGCTACCGTCATTTCCTCTCTATTCCATGCCTCAAACATCTCCCTCTACGTCCTATCTATTTTTCCCAGCTCAGTCACGTACACTTGCCTCTCATTGTACCATGGACATTCCGCGACTACATGAACACGGTCTTCGCATTCGAAGCCGCAATCACATTTGAACTCGTCGTCTTCCTCGTCTACCGTCCTATGTCTTCGTCGACGTTCTCGAAGGCCTGTGTCCCCGGTCCTGAATTTGACCTCAAGCTTTGTTCCTGCGTCCAGTGGTCCATGTAGGTAATCCTTGAACCCTATTCCTTCGGGTGGGGGGGTGTACTCATAGTCGTGCATGCCGTAGTCGTTACACCATTGACCTCGCATCCCTACAAAGCCGGGACGGAGCACGCCGGGTTCTCACCGGACCAGGCTCTCACATCACCAAGCGCGAAGCGCCGTGAGATATTCGGCGAGTCGCATGAAGGGTGCGCTGCATCCTGCTAAGGGTGTTCGGCATCTTGTGCTTACTTCCTTGCGTACGGATGACAGCTGCGTATGACTTAATTTACTTTCTGGTGCTTTCACTTCCAGAGACAGTTGTAAGCACTGTGTAACTGCCTCGAGGGTGCTTGACCATTTTAACACAACGTGGTGCGATCATCCCCCTTGCGCGGAGTGAGGGTTCTCCACCCCGCACAACATGATCTACTCGACCACCATTATGGTTACCGCCAAAAAAAAAAAGAGGTAAGAAAAAAAAAC